CCATGATGGCCACGCGCGGGGCGCCCTCTTCACGCACGAGCTCCTCCTTCTGCCGCTCCAGCTCCCGGTGCCGCCGCTGCCGCTGCTCCGCCTCCCTGCGGCGTGCGTCGGCGGCCTCCTGGTCCTGCTTCCGCTCCTCCGCAGACTTACCACGCTCGGCGAGGATGCGGGCGATGTCCTCCTCCGTCATGCCGAGGCGGCGCATGTCATCCGCCGTCAGCTCCTTCTTTGGTGCATGTTTCTTCTTGGGGGCCATTCCTGCTGCGCGATGGGCGTATGCCTCAGAGGGAAACGCAGAAACAAATAAGAGTGATAGACGGGAGAGAGAGAGAGAGAGAACAAAAAAAGGACATACCTACATCAAGACATCTGTAAAACAAGAATACACTGAGCCTCACGGGTTGCGTGGTCATATGTTTCCATGTGTGAAGAAGTGTATACGTAGTTAGGTGCGTAATAAGCACCACTCTCCATACTCCCATCCATTTTTCTTACACCGCTTTCCCCTCTCTCNATATATATATATATATATCACACACCACTCGCCGGTGCTGCTACTCTTGCTGCTGTCGCTTCTTCTCCCGACACTTCCGCCTCATGAAGGCGACGGGATTCGAAGGCCGCTAGAAGGCTGTTGTGCTGCGCTAGCGACTTGCCCAAGACACACGTCTCATATTCACGAACCACCTCGTAACAATGATGCACTGGAGGAAACTCCGACATTGACGATATCGGGGCACTGCCATCATTACTACTACTGCTGTCAGTGCCGCTATTACTGCCGTTGACGGCGGCGGTTGCGGTAAGATTGGCAACATCTTCGGAAGTGGCAGTCCTTCCGTCGCCACCACCACCACTACTGTTGCTCACTGTGCCCATCATCTTTTCAAAGCACCGCAACACCGCCGAACGAGGAACCTCGCAGGGTTTGTTCGAAACCTTGAATGGTGAGGACAAAGCGCCATACATGCGTTCAATGGCGGTTTGATTGGCGGCCTCTAACTTTTTGTACTCCACCGCCGCTGCCGTCAGCAGCTCCTGTGGAGTGTAGTCATCGTCTTTTCGTGAAGCCTTTTGAAAGGGCATTGCCTACCCCTTTCCACTGTTTTTTCCCCCCCTCTCTCTCTCTCTCTCTCTGTGTGTGGCTATGCACACCGCGTTGCTGTATTACACCTTGGTAGCGGGAGAAAAAAGGGGGCGCAGGCAGGGTGTGGAAGTAGGGCCACAGCAGACATTTGCCAGCAACCAAGGCGACACCGACACGTCGCAACACTCCTACCCCACACAACAAGGCAGATAACACCGGCTAAGCCACACACACAAACAGACACACATAACGAACAACAGCAACAACAACAACACCAACAACAAAAAACGCCAGAAAAGAAACAGAGGTGTAACACTTGACACAATGTTTTTCCCTTTCTCTTCCGGTGCTCCACCTCCAGCATCACCACTGCTACGGCGCCATACGATTCCAAGCCTCTCTTCTTTTCGCTATTTTTTTTTCCTTTTGCACGAGTGGCCGTTACTGACTGTAGCGGATGCGCGACTTCTTCCTCTCTGGGTGCCGCAGCTGCGCGGATTCCTCCCGCGAGAGGCGTGGCGCCGGCATGTTGTAGCGGCCCCGCGGCGGCACGAAACTGCGCACATTACCGTAGAAGTACGGGATGTCTGCAGCGTGTTGTGGCTTGGCGAAGGGACCGCCACTTTGCACGCGGCGAAGTCGGCGCTGCTGCCTGCGCGTCCCAGCGCCCTTTCTGCTCTTGTCGTCATCCACACCGTCCTGCTGCAGCTGCGGCTGCACAGACATCTCCTCCCATACGTGTGCCTCCTCCACAGCGGCCTGAAAGACTGGGTCAAGCAAGGCACGGCGTTTGATTCGCTCCATGCCCTCGAAGGAGCGGCACAGCTCCGCGTCGTGGCGACTAACAGCGTACAGAAAGCGGTTTGACGGGCAGAGGGCGCGGTCCATAAGTGCCTCTGTCACCTCCATCTTGGATGGAGACGTCTTCTCAGCCACCAGAGGAGGGGCCACACTCCCAGATGACTGCACCGTTGAAGTCGTTTCCCCAGCATTTGTTTTCGACGCGTTAGGTGTGGGTGCCGTAGACACGGACGCTGGGAACTTGATGATGTACTTTTTTTCCTCGTAGGATTCCAGCATCCGTAACTCACGCTCAGAGATGTCCTCGTACTGCTTATGCTGTACTTTGTTCATAGCTGGCGCAAGATCAATGGTGGGTAACCCGAGGAAAACGTTCTCACACACGCACGCAGTTAACTCCTGTGCCTCACCCATGTTCTTCAGCGTCTCAATGCTTTGATCAATAGGAAGAGATGCCAAGTAAACATCTTCTTCTCCTTCACCCTCTTTATCCGTTTCACCATCTGCTGCAGAAGCAACAACCACATCAATGGGCGACTCACTTACTGAATCGCCTTGGCGTGCGATTACATCTACAGCCCCAACATCGTCATTCTTATCTGCAGCAGCCAGCGACTCAATTGTGTCAAAATCCAACAGGCCCCATTTCCAGAGCTTTCGCAGTTCCTCATCCGTCATACCGGATAACACATTGACCCATGCCATCTCTCTCGCCTCTTCCCGGGTGATGGTGACAGGCTCCATCATAGCGTCGCCCTCTTTGTGACTGCCACGAGACTGCGTCTCTATGCATTGTGCCTCCTCGTCGACTGACCGTGCCAGAGCACGCACGGCCTCCATCACTTCCTCGCGGTGGTACGACCCAATACGGTTAAACACCAGCTGCAGATAACGAAGTGTATCTTCCTTGTTTTTCTTTCGCAGCACTTCATCCGCATCCAGGAAAAGCTGCCGCCTCGCTGCTCGGTCTTTAGCCGTGACACACTCCATTACATCCTGGCCTTTGCTATATGCTTCACTTGGGCGGAGTTTTTCAATAAACTCATTCCAACCAGCACTTGCTAACGGCTCCTCGCTGCGGACTGAAGCCACCGGCGACTCCTCCTTCTTATCGTCACTCTTCCCCATCACCTTCTCTTTACTTGCGGCACGCTCCGAACGCATGCGGAGTATCTCCGCGCGAATGTTATCCAAGGAATTATCGGGTGCCGCCGGCATGCCACCCGTACGGAATGACGACACCTCAGTTGGAGCGACGGGCTCGACGACTTCTTCTTCCTTTATCGGCTTCCCCCTTCGCCGCAGGAAACGTCGCGAGCACGCCAATGCCTCGTGTCTTCCCGCACCGCGACAACTAACAAGGAGACGCCACATTCCCCACTCCTCTGCGACAGAGAAAGAAACCAACCACAGCAACAAAAGACGCATTACGCAAAAAGAAAAGGCACACATAGAACGACAAGAGCTAGGAAACACACACACACACACACACAGACAGACAGACAAAGGAGCACCCAAAGGAAACACAATCAAAAACCGCAAGGGGCCCAATAAATGTGTGAACACATTACAGAAAAAAAAAAATGAGGAAAATCCCGGAGTTGGGATTCATCCATTAACATATATTACACGTCTTCAAGCAGCATTATCGCGAACGTCCGTGACATATATTCTCTTCGCATCGATTACGCGAGTCTCCATAATTTCAACAGCTTGCTTTGCCAGCACCAGATCCTGCAAGTCCGCTAGAACCAGAAATGCCACATCCACACACGACGAATCCTCCTGTACTTTTTTAGATGCGGCTGCGAGAACCTGCTGTGCTTGCAACCAGTCCTCTGAGAACGTGTACGACAGTGATCCACCAAACACACTTCGGGAAACAGCAGATGAATCATCATTTGGGACAAGAGGTCCCGCCCCACACCAGCTTCTCATCACTTCACCAATAAGAATCCAGCCCTGTCGTCGAACAACTGATAGTGGATGCTGCGTTACAACTATCAAAGCAAATGAGAATATGCTTTCACAAAGAGCTGGTGCCACGTGGCGAGATGAGGCAATACATTGAACCACAATGCCTAAACTCTTCAGCACCTCACTTGGTGCATATGGATCATTATCGCGAAAAAACGCAAAATGCTCGTCTTCAGCTCTTTTTAATAGTGCCGAAACAAAAAAATTGACCACTTCCGAGAGGTAATTTGTGTAGATCTTTGATTTTGGGCCTCCTCTTCCAGCAACAGCGTTTCCCCAGCGTCGCGTTTCCTTTCCTTCCGTGGCAATGATTGCAACATGTTTTTTGCTTCCACTGCGTATTGGAGGATAAATACGCTTTGACACGGAATCCTCTTTTTGGTTGGTATCCCATTGGGTTTTTGCCTGTGATGTCGCATGTATTTCGATCTTTGAGAGATACCTAGCCGCCTCACCAATTGCCTTCGCCATCTCGACACGCTGATGAACACCGTAATGACTGGAGTAGACCATCTTACCAAGCTGCTCCAACGCATGTTCCGGAGTGAGAATGATTAAGGATACAAGAACGGAATATCTTAAATTCATCAATTCATTACATCGTTCTTCTGGTGCGTGGATAGTAAGCGACATCAATGCGGGTAAAAGGGATGAAACCATCGGGTCAAGTTCTCTTCCAACCCTTTCACGTGAGGGCAGCATCGCACCATCCAGCGTCTTCTCCTTCCAAACGCCAAGTTTATCTTTTAGACTTTGCAGCGAAAGTGAGAACCCGCGAAGCCCACTTTCTATCTCCTGTTGAATCTCGTAAAGCTGGGCACCTGTACTTCTCCCAATTCCCATGATAGCATTGTAGGATTCACGCACTGTCGTCAGAACTGAGATGTTATCGTCCAATTCATCCTCATCGTGTGACGTTTTACCAAAAGATAACAATTGCCCATGATTCACGATACTCTCTGGATTAAAAAGCACAGCCCCCTTTTCGGGTAAACTGGATCTTATTGGCACAGTGGAGTTTCTGCGACAAAAGAATGTGAAGGCGCTATCAGGGTTAAGAGGATATTCTTCATCCTTCAGAGAGCGACGAACAAAGATGATATGCGCATCATTGCCGACATTCTCGCGAGTATCTGTACTAGTAACATGCGACATCCCAGGCATCCCTGTTGGTTGGCTTTCATCTTTCAACCAATCGTCAAGAAGTGCTGGAAACTGCCCCAAATCAGAAAATGCATGCGCTGCTTCACTATCACTCACAAAAAATGATGCGAACGCGGAAGCGACTGTGATAGATTCGTCTCGCATTCCTGTTGTTCGAACGCACCCAAAACGTACCGAAATTCCACTTAAAAGGCTTTGCAGCAACACGTGTGGAAGACGATTTTTGCCCTTCTCGGCGCTTCGCTCCTTTATGTGAAGCAATACGTACAATACTGCATTTGCTAACGTGGTATTGAGCTGAATAGACCCCTTTTCAACAATATCAGAACTACCCCACTGCTGGAATATTTCAGTAAATATTTTTTCTTCCATAGCAGAAATGCCATTCAGCCTCTCCTCGTTACGATGAGAGAGAATAATTGGAAGAATTTTTCTAAAAATGATTCTCAAGACGCCTCTTTCATTGGGCAGAGCCGATGTCTCCGTAAAAAAAATCTCTCTCTCCAAAGCCTGGGACATGCACATCATATCATCTGCCCCTTCACATCCCTTGTTCTGAAGGGTCAACATTTGCACCAACGAGTCCACTAAAAGGCTCTTTATTTCAAAGTCTTTTTCGGCCTCTCGCAAAAACCACGAGTTCCATTCAGACCAAGACAGATTGCTACCGTTTCTTTCTACCACAGCATTTTCCATACTTCCTCGAGGCATCCAACGACCATTAAAACTCGATTTGAAAATTGCTTTATATACCAGTGGCATTATTTCTTCTGAAATCATCAAAGTGGGCGCTGCAGTTCTAACGAAACGTACAAAGCAATGAAAAACTGTCTTTATATATCCACGTCTAACCATTGATTGCAACATAGTATCGCAAACAATACATGCGCTTTTCTTTAGGAATCGATAACGTCTCTTCCCATGGAGCACTTCTACGCTCTCTCCCAACTCTGTCTTATGTACCGCAAACAAAAAACTGAAAAGTGCTTGACACAATCGAGTTGTCAAGATATCCAGATCAATACCAAGACATTTTTGATCCATGGAGGTACTCAGAAGTGCATTCGCCAAACGATCTGGTAACGAAACTAAAAACGTACATTGACTACCAAGGACCTGCTCTTCAATTGGTGTAAGTTCACCCTCCCTCAAGGCTATCGCAAATTCACACATGCAGGCAGCTAATGGTGTAGAAGTGGCTACATCGACGAACCCGGTCTCTGATTCACACGCAATAACCTCCGGTTGCGAATCCAGCTCCAATAAATCCAAGAAGTCTTCGAGTGCCTCCCCTGAGCGTGTGCTAAATTGAATCACAGGGCCATTACTGGCGGACCCTTCAGTGATTTTTGCCAAAGCAACTTTGGTTTTTTCGTAAAGAGCGACTTCTCCAAAACAAGCCATGGTCTAAAAATGTCGCCTTGCTCACCCTACCTCCAGTAATGTTATTTAAAAGCGCGGATAAGAACAAACAAAAACAAAAATAAAAAAAGCCAAAGGGGCCGCCAACTCCGTCCGGGCCTCGCCCGCGCCGCCCGGGGGCGATCGGGGTCCTGCCGCCCACCGCCCTCCCGA